ACATCGTGCTTTTTACTTTGTTGGCTTTTGTGTTGTTTCTTTGTTGTGGCTGGGTGTGGATCTCGAATCAACTTCTACAGCATTCAGATCAATAGAACTGCTAACCAACAATAATCCCTCAGCCGCAGTAGTTCTTCCAGCCCTTTCCATGAAGTACGTATTTGGTACGGAATGCGGTGGGTAGGCATGAGTATTACATGTCTTATGCACCTGAACGGGTGTAATGCAATAGTTTTAGTTAGGGGTTGCTTATATGCATCCGATTCACAAATTCGATTGGTATACCTACTTTGTTGTGTATAGTAATCGCCATCATTTTTTCACATTTTCAAATTGCTTATTCCTCCTTGGGTAACGGGTTACTCACTTTTGGTCTGTTTATTTCTGTAATCAGTACTATTCCGAATTTTAAAACGAATTCAAATGAACCGTGCACTTGAACTGAAGTCCCACAACTCACGACTTTAAAACTGCTGTTAATGATTTATCCGATTCCCTGTTGATTAACTTCGTTGTAACACGCCCAGGAATTTGAATGGAAAGCGGGTTGATCAACTGATTAATGGTTAAGTGTGTAGAGTGATTACTTTTTTGTTAGGTCCCGTGTTTGTTTCTCAGTAGGATCAATGATTATGCGCTGATGATGGGACCCCAACAGGTCAAAATGGCTGTTTACTACTTCCCAGCTTTTTGTCCACGGTTCGTTTGTTCCGTACACGACGGGATTGGTTTGCTTCGTTGTGTCTCGAGTCACTGTGAAGATGCGGTTTTCTATGAAGCATTGTACCATCGTCAACTTAGGTATTCGAGACCGCATAATTTTCTTACCGTTTCGGCGGCTTCTCTTTGAAAATGCAATGGTAGACCTACCTCACCACGAATTAGCACGCCATGGTAATCAGCCTTGTCAATGTTGGCATCCACAGATTGTTGATCTGCCTGACAAGCCACGGCATGGTTAAGATTTCGGGTTAGTTTGTGCGTGCATGCATGCATCTATTCGATTTCCAACTACCCAATTGTGACCTCGTTGCTCCGTCTATATGTTGAGTCAAACGAGTTTTAATTGTGCTGTCTGAATCGATTGCCACCCGACTGTACTCCGGTAGAATTTTTCCGAACCACATGTAGGTTCCACGTGGTCCCCACCCCCCACCATATGCCTAAGAAATGCGTGCTTTGTTGCTTGGTCCCATTCACCGACTGCTTCCCAATATTCGTCTCGGATTAGCGTGACCCATCATCCTCGTCACACACACATAGAGCACGTATGTATCTTCTGGTCTGGGGTCTGTCTACGACCAGGATAAACAATCGCTAATTTTTCATCGTGTATGTGTGTTACGGTCCTTCACGGGTGTATCAATACACTCAGATTAAGCGATCAATCTGACCTTGCAACTGTTACCCCTAATATAAACCAAATTCGTTAACCTAGTGAAAAACTGATCATGCGGTTAGGCGAAATTGGTTTATTTCGGTTTGATTATTTTGTTATTAGACCGTCAGCTGGATAAAAATAATCGTTCCGCGCTGAAACTCTCCCTCTAATAAGCGCCTACAAAGGTTAGGCCTTATTCAATCGATTCGATCAAGCTAAGATCACAAAAATGTGTGCCTTCCAGCGCTCCATATACTAGTCCAGACTACTTATATAAATCTTTCGAACAGCGTGTAATGGATTATCCTTCGTTTCACAGTGAGCCGTAAACCTCTCATACCATTGTAATTTATAACTGACCTTCCATCCTATTTATTTCTGTCATGTCCGACGAAAGCAAAATAACCCACTTGTGCATAGACAAGATCTTCACGAGTATGTTTTTCCAAGTAGAAAGTATGGTCCGTTGAAGGTTCGAACTTTCATCTTCCAAACTCTCTCATTTTTTATTTGTGCTCGGTATGGTTTTCTATTTTGCCCTGTGTTTGTGTGACAATAGTTGCATAGAATTCGTACGAGAAAAGCGTTATGTCCACATCGTGGGAGTTGTTTCTTTCCCATAGCACACGATTCACCGAGCAAAATATTTCTTGGTCCCGATATGTCATCCGTGTCACTTTAGTGGATTGCAATAGCTACGATATTTCGCCCAGTAGGCTGGTCTGTTAACCGAGACAGTTTACGATCCAAAGATGAATGATGACCAAATATTGTCTTGGCATAACGGTCTCAAGAACTTGAACAACGAACTTACTCGTGTAAGTCGTGTTACAGACCCTAGAATCAGCCTAATCATTCGTTAGCGGTGTCATCTGGTGCAGCCAAGGGTAATAACGAAAAAATCTCGTGAATCTACGCCATTTCCACACATTTCAGATTTATCTGGGTTCTGGCTATTTCCCCGACTCATTGCAAGCCATGGAATATTACGATATCTGAGCAAACTGTTTCCGGATACGCAGGGTGGAGATGACCGGGTAGGGAAAACGTGAACTGAAGTCTGTTGTGAATATTGTTCAATGATTGCAATTCACAGAACCAAATATCAACAGACGGGCACAGTTCATAAGTCATAAGTGTCGCTATACTCGGACTATAAGGATGAAATTCAATCGATGTCACTGGAGGACGATAGTTTTCTACGACTACAAATGTCGTGTAAAGCAGCAGCAGTGTTGATCGTTTGCCAGCTGCCTTGGTGATGGGAAGCCTTCCTAAGGCATTATGTTTAAGTGGTTTGCGGAGGTCAATCGTGGTGGGCGGTTTCCGGATGATGAGGTACGGTGTGGTCGACCTGTAGAAGCCATTGCAGCGGACACCAGTGTTGCTATGCAAGCGATGGTGGAGGATGATGCGCGGGTGACAGTAGCACAGCTGGCTAAAGCTGTCGGGATCAATTCGCACTATCCTACACGAGAAGCTAGGCCACAGAAAGGTTTGTGTACCCTGGGTATCACATTAGCTCTGTGAGGAACAGAGATCAGTTCGGGTGGATTGATTCAATGGCGAACGTTCCAATGCAGTTTGGACTTGGGGGTATAGTTTCTACCCAGAGACCAATGATCGGCTCAGTGGAGGGCAGCTGGTGAGGAGCCGCCTTCCTCTTCTCTTCGCGGGACTACCCGGACACTTTCGTTTGTTCGCACTCTTTTCCTCTTCGGTCAGTCAGATGGGTTGTTGAAACGAGGAAACGGTTGTCCTGTCTTATTGATTGTAAAACTCTAAACTTTACGGTTTAAATAGCCATTGACACTCCCGTCGAAACCACTAACGATGCATTTTTTCGGGTAAACCATCAACAAATTGAGCATGACTGATAAAATTATGATAAGGTACAACTTGTTTGTTCACCCTTTATTAGTTTTAGGGATGAGCTAGTTGCACACTACATGCCATAAACATTCTTCATGTGTGTACAACTGCGGAGTAGAAATATTTTAGGCATTCTCTTTTGCTTATATTTTCCCTCCATTCTCTGCTTTCTTTCTATCTTCGATCAGCGCTGGGTGGAACGGGAAATCTCAAACTACGAGTACCTAATGTCTTTGAACACTATTGCCGGTCGAACATTCAATGACCTCAACCAGTATCATGTGGTGAGTCACAGGATTTTATGCATTTTCATGCTGTCGTCGATTTAGTTGCCAAATATGTATTTCCCTTATCGGTGCTTTTGTGGGTCAAATTGTTCAACTAGTGGCTCTGGACAAGGTACTCTTGAAACCTTCAATGTATAAATATCAGGTAACTCTGAAACATCCAGGTTCAGTTATCACACTACGTTCTTCCACAGTAATTTCCATGTCTTATTATTGATGTACCATGTAGTTCCTTGAGAGCCGCTCACTACCTTGCAGTCGTTGAAATTACGCTTATTATCAGGGCTAAGAACTCTTCTCTAAATCTCATTCCAATCAATCAATGGTTAACTGTGTCCTCTGTGACTGTCTAATTCATTGTTGCTGGAGATTAACGGATAGCAACGTTCCAAATTATTGACCATGTACGCTTTGGCTGACTGCATTTAGCCCAGAACGAAGAATACTAGATCTCAATTTCTGAAGTCTGCTTGCTCAGTAGACGCCGGGGGCTTTACCGGTTATTTCAACGCTCAAGTGCGGTCTCTCTACAAATTAGAAATACTGCTGGGTGCTTTATTTGCAATCAGCAATTGTTCACCTGTGCAAAATTCACATGTACCTTTTAATGTGAACCTTTAAGAGACGAATTTCTGTGTTTTGAGCCTTTCCCCATGAAACTCTTCGAATCGTCTTATGTGTACTATGACTTTACTCATCACAGCAATTTATTCTCTTTTCAGTTCCCGTGGATTATTGCCGACTACGAATCCAAAGAGTTGGACTTGAATAAACCTGAAACGTTTCGGGATTTATCTCGTCCGATTGGATTGGCTAACCCAGAATTTATTCAACGAGTGAAAGAGAAGTAAGTAACTGTAGTTGTCTTTCATGTATCAGTTTTAATTTGCATAATCATATGTTGTTTTCGAGTTGCAGTTTAATCTAACAACTTTCATTCATTCCAGCGTTCCCTTAAGAGAATATTTGATAGTATTACGAATTTGGGTTTGAGTTATCATTCACACCACATCTACCTCGAAGAAAAACCGGTTTCTAACTACAGTGGAAATAACCGAGAGATGTCTATGTTCTTTTATTACTTGTGATATTTGTGGTGGATGGATGTCTTTTTTACTTTGGTCTCCAGTGGTGATCACCGTACGGCTGTGAATCGAGCCCAATTGTTGTCGCATTTTGAACTTTGATCAGAACTAAACCGGTTACTTATTACCATGAGTCTATTTTGCGCTCAAGGGTTGATTCAACACTAATCAACAGGTACTCAATTTCGGGAGAATTTCCTGTATTCTCACTTTCGACTGACTGTCAAATGGTTTCGTTTAATACAGATACACTTAATTGATTTAACTGTCGTTGCTGTCTTCCGGCTACGTATTGGCCTAACCAATCAAGAAAGGAGGTCGCTATCCCAATGGCGATATGGAGTGCGGGTTAACTGAGTGTGCATCGAAAGCGATTAGATGTATGTGGTACACTGTGTATGATATTCACTCACTATCCCCAACCGTTTTCTGCTTAGTCAGGAGGTGCCAAAGTAGAAGGTCTTAACTAATCTAGGCCACCGAATTTCCCGATGAAGGTTTTCCTACTTTCCTTACAGATTCAGTAAGATTCAGTAAGAATCACCGTCTACCTTGACTAGCAGCGAACGCTATAGGAGCCTATCCGATAATGAGCACAGTATCAGCGACCGGAAACTATGGATGAATTTTCACCTGCATGATAGGATCATGATAATTTGCGCTTTTTCTTTCCCATCCGGATTACGATACTCTCTGAGGAGTAAACTGTTTTCATACATACGTGATCACCCATATTAGAATCACTGGGTTTGTATATATTATATTTCACACTCGTCTGAGGCTAGGCTGTGCCAAAAAAATCACCGTACGGTTAGCTTTATAAAAAGAAAAAGGTTCCATGATTTGAATGTGGGCTGAATACTGCCCGGTTGCCCAGGCCGAAGCAAGTAATTTTTTGGGCGGGGAATTCATAATCGGAGCTTTCGGCTTACCAAAGCCTGACCCGCAAGGCAGCGGAGCTGCGTGTGATGTAGTGTCCAGTTCATCGGATCATCCACGCTTTGGACGGGATCTAATGTCCAAAGTGCCCATTACACCTTCATGCCCAATTGAGTCGGTGACGACCGCCACAGCCCGGAATATGTGTGTGTCGTTTGTACCCCTTCTCTTGGTTGGTTTGGAATCAGGGATTTTAGCCAACTCCTCTAGATGAACTACCAGTGGTCCACCCACTCAGTTATAGCCCCGGATATCGGCTTTTCGACCTCTCGCTTTGATGGGGAGAACTACTCCACTGAAAATGCAGCGAGATAGGTTTCCTCAGCGAGGCTATTGGAGACACTTGGTCGTTTAGGAGCATTTCGTGAGGTGCAAGGGATGGGTGGACGGCCACAACCCAAGAAACCCACACCTGACTACAGTGAGGCTTTCAGAGGCTGGCTTGGATTCGATTTGTATTTATTTTGCGAATGCGATCGATGAATCATCGCGTACTGTTTTTGCCTTGTTCTGGAAGTCATTCAGTTATTTTGTTGAAGGTCGCTTCAGGCGAGAGAACGAGACGATGGTAACCACCCGGTCAAGGGGAACGAAAACCAAGAGTCTTTTCTATGGCCCGATGAACGAGGCTGACATCCGTTAAGAAAAACTCACACTCAATACCCGAAATAGAAATGGCAATAAAACGCAATAATGGATTGGGAAATCGCACACATTAAAGAAGGTTTATGTCTGCACGAGTGAGGGATGAAGGTGGTGCGCACTTGTTTAATGGACGGGTACTTTCATCTTGTCACCTGTTGCATTTTTTTGTTATTGCTGTCGTTCGTTCTAATCTGTCGACATGTCTGGTTTATGATAGTGCAAATGAGCTTATCACTTTCGTTCATCGACCAACCTACTTTTCATTTCTGTCCCTCTGTGATCTCCTCTACAACGCGTACATACAAAACAATCCATCCTCGTTTGAGGACATTTGTGAAAGTTTAGCCTAAAGTACGTTATTTTCGCTCAGTGAGGACTTTTGCAACTAAAATGGTGGGCAAGGTCAATTGTATCGGAATAACTGGTAGATTTCAGTTTTTACGTGTTTCTTCCTAACCTGTATATTACTGCTCAACCCGTACACTAAGGTGTCTATTGATGCAAGGCCAGGTGATCAGCTTTGAAATCCAAATTGAAATGCGTTTTACGGAGTGAACTTTACTCGGTGCATTTCCCTGTGAAATTTGAATAAAAGAAAACGATACCAATAAACATCACTTCAATATGTTTCTCGGTGATTACGCGGATTACAATGAATGACAGAATTTTTTTTCATTTCATTTTTTAAGTCATGCTGTGTCTCTGTAAAGTTTACTAATGAAAATGCACGTATGAGAGGAACAGAGGCTTTGATTTGATTAGATGATGAATTCGCGTTGCTGAGATGAGCGAGGTCCTTTACCCACAACAATCTCACAAAGACGGGTTATGCTATTTTGTATATATTCAAAATGAAAAATGGTCAGACCAGCTGCCCGTTGACCGAGTGGGTAGTGTACTTGCGTCCTACTTGCGAGATCCCTGGTTCGGTCCCCAGTTGAATCAATGGATTCGCATTGCTGATGAGGCCCAGTCAGGTCGAAAACGAATTTAGAACATGAGATCCGGACACTATGATGAAATCTGCATTCATTGAGGGGTAATTTAAAAACTCTGAATTATTTACTGACTTGTTAATGTGTATAAAACAATACGGCCTTTTCTGTTTGTTTGTGTACATTTTCTGATAAGGTTGATATAATCACCTGACTGACTGATGTCATTTCGATTGCCCCGTTGCTTTCATCCAGGTACGAATCTTTTGAAGATCCTGGCGGTACGATACCGAAATTTCATCACGGTACGCACTATTCCAGTGCTGCCGGTGTCCTTCACTATCTCGTTCGTCTTGAGCCTTTCACTGCGTTCCACTGTGAATTACACGGTAACAGGTGTGTGTAAATTTTCAAATAGAAAGCTATTTGACTTTTCTGAATATCAATCACGGGATGATCGTTTATACGATGACTATAGCAGAATATTTCATTTTGGACATTTTATTCAACTAGCCGGCTGGTTGCTGTCGAAATTTTAAAGGAATACTCTTATAACTCAAAATCATTTCCGAAGACTCCGCAAAATGTGGCTGTTTTCATTCACAGACATTTTGATAATTTTCGATTTTTGTGATCACCCTCCAAATTTCCTCTTCACTCACGTCCCTTATCGCAAACGGAAAACTAGTTTTTTTTCCCCAGAACGTTTGACTAATGGCTATTCGGAGTTTAAGCCGTTCCCCCAAGTGGTGTAGAATTCTCAGCCTGTTGAATTTGGCGGGGCCATAGTTGATACCGAATAGATCCGGTTCGTACGCCAAGATATCTTCATTTGCATCTCAGGGAATGATTTTGGGACAAGCTAACCTCGAAGTAGTTTGTGGGTTAGATGCGTTCAATATCGGCAAAGCCGACACTGTCGGATTTTCGATCAGATGCAAATGAAGATATGTCGGCATTTTCCTCATCCGAAGTACAAATATATAAGAATGGCTTGATGGAAAAGTACGGGTTACGCATGTTTTATGAGCACTCAGTTTCGTTTAATGTGCAGAGGGACAGTTTAATGCGGTTATCTTTTCCTTTAACTAATTCATTCATAATAGGAAGGAATTAACCATTAATTTTGACATTTTGGCAAGAATTACAGTATATGTTAATGAGCATGTATCCCGCTTGCTGTCGACTCCATTATGCGAACAACAAGAAAAGAATACAGTTCATCGTTGGAACGTGTAGTGGCACACTAATTTTGAAAGTAGTTTTTTAGTATAGGTTCGAAAGATAACGGAGTCGTCCGCCATATGTTTAGTTTATTTTCACCCGTGGATACCGAAGCAACAACCGAAGCACTATCTCTTTTCCTTATCAACATTGTACGGCGGATTTCGACTTCAATCAACTTCACTGCCAAGCTCATAATGGGATTGGCCCTGCTTCGGGGAGATGGAGGTCGAACCACTCTGGTTGACACAAATTACGCAGTCCAACAGTGCATCCTCATCTTTTCAAGCATTCTGAACTTGTAGGAAGTGACAAAAAGAATCTCACTGCTTTCGGTTAGTTACCATATCATTCAGTGTCTCCAACGAAATAGTTGCAGAGTAGTTTGAACCCCAACCTGGAAGGCTTCGTGCATTTCTTCGTATCTTGTTTTCACATCATCTGTTGACCTCCCCGTGATTTTCTTCACCCAGGAGTGGGAATTGTAAACGAGGTACAGTATCAGTCTTTGACTATTCCCCGATGCAGCTAACACTTCGATTTTACTAGCTTCACTTGAGTCTCTTCGCGAGGTTACGTTGCAGAATCCACGTCTGCATGAGAACCGCTGTCTCGTGAGATATTCCATTCTTCGTATGGGTTTCGGGCTCAGATTCACAAGTAACGTTCGCTGCTGAGTTCATTGTTTGTTTAATCTAATTCCATCGTTTCCTCCAGCGCGTTTAGCTCATACTCTAGCTGTGACTTATAGAGGTCATGAACACATGGGGCAGGTAATCGATGAAGAGCTAACCGAGTTCACTGTTCTCTTCGGTGACCAGTAAGTCGGAGCACAAAGTGCATCAAAATTAGCATGTGATCAAACTCAACGCAGGTCGTCCAATGAGATCTGCAATTTTCTACAGAGCCATGCCACCGTTATTATTATTATTATTATTATTATTATTATTGTGTGATCGATTTGAGCCAGGTTACCTGTTGAATTGGAGTGCCATTGTGTCTTCCGTTAGGATTTATCTCGGAAGTTGGTACTGAACAAGAAGAGATGATAGTTTGCGCAGAACCGAAAACTTCGATCGTCGTTATTTATTCCGACCGTTTAGACAGGCTTCAGATGCGTTTAGTTTTTCACCCTGGGCTTTAAGATCACCTGTAAGCACTACGATTTCGGAGTTTCTGCTCAACTGATTGTGCTCGGTGAGTTTAACCTAGAACTATTATTTTTGTGTCTCAGAACTGTAGTTGGATTTTGCGTATTTTGATAAATGAACGGACAACTTCCCTTCCGGACACTGCTCGACCTCAGGAGCCGCTTTGCATGCAAGCGACTGTTAACGGAGATCCAATAGATAAGTGAGATTTCAGCTCTATTATTGAGTACAAGACTTACAGCCTGCTGATCTAATGAGCGAACTTTGTCTTCGACTAATGCGAGGAGGAAATAACTCGAGGACAAATCCGGCACTAGGATCCTGAATTCCAGTATCGGATACGCAGTAAACATCGATAGTAAGGGGCTCCATAGTAGGCGCCAGACAAGCTTATTGACCCACTGTAGTAATCAGAATAGTATTTAATTTAGGTATACGAGAATCCGTACTGTACTGCTCAGAACTGAATTGGCTCCAACCCACACCGTGGACACCAATGAAATACGCGAGGAATTAATAGCATCAAATGCTTATCTTTATTGATAGAATTAGATTATGTTTTATAGAAGGAAATATCTCATATAATTGGTTGAAGGGTCGTCGTCCAATTATGTAACCGTTTACGCCGACGCATCATATGTACTAACTCGGATGTCACGTTCGCCCAGTGTACCATTGGTCGAGCTTCCTGAACGGTGATTGGATGACATGAAACTGTACCTAGTGCATGGATTGCGGTCACGGAAGTCTGGATCACCACACCCACCTGCATCACAGTCCTCACGTTGACCGATGAAGCTTCAGAATGTACAGTTATATTTTTGTCAAACTGCCCACAGCGCTCTTTGGCAATGATTTTTGGCGAGTGACAGAAAAGTTGTCTGATAGAATTTTACGATTAGGAAGAAAAATTAAATGAAGAGCGTTGAGTATGGATGACAAAGAGGTAAACAAATATTGGAATATCTGAGCAATAGTTCACTTATCCCGCCCTATACACTGGGCAGCACTGTCCTGGTTGTCTTGCACGACGACTGATGCATTATGTATTGGAGCATGACTGGACGGTTACTGTTAGAGTGTCCAACCCGTAAACAGGTGGGCGATTAGGGTTCTCGGACAATACCTTTCGTTCTGACCAGAACGTGACCGCAAGGCAGCGGGTGAAACAAAGTGGAGGTCCATTGACTTGGATCAATTTATCGTCTCGCGTCTTCTATAGATCGATTAGCCTATTCACTAAGAACCCCCTAACCTAGGGGGTCAGGAGACTAATTTTTTCAGACTTCTGACCTTTCAGGTGTGATAAATTCTTTTGTTTTGATAAAAGCCATCCTATGTAGTTCGTTGGGTTGTAGAGGTGCACCAAACGTCACACTGCATCACGTTACATTCTTTTCGGGGTGGTTTGTGTTTGTTTGACTTTCAGCTATCGAATGTGTGCACTTGATAATTCTTACATGATTGCGAGCTTCTACGCTTCTATTATCCGTATTTTTTCCTTAACCAGCGAGGGAATGTAAGGCCCGTTTCCCCGCTCCTTTTCCATTGTTCTTAGTTTTTCCACCTGATATTGTTGATCCCATCACCCTCCAATCTATGGAATCCATAGGACAGCCCTTTAATCGTTTTGACGCGGTCATGGACACAGTAAGGTCATGCTGACCCTTGTTACCGAGCTTCACCCAACTCACAATGGTCAATCGATTGCCGGGATGATCCCGACTGTCATACTTCAAACAGTGACTCAGCGTCAGCTTGATAAAAGTACAATATTTCGTAGACTGAGGGCAGACGGCCCTACTTTGGTCTGACCTTCGCCGTTCACTCAATTTGAGGCTCATGCGCCCGCACACTTATGAGGCCATTCCCGACAGATAACCTAACGTTGCGGGGTTTAGGTTTGTCTGACCTGTGCTGAAACACATGCAACTTATAGTAATCTGTATGAAGCGCGGTGCGGCTGCTCATGGATGTGAACATATGCCAAATGATTTCCGTTCACGAAGTGCCTCGTGGAACTTCGGGAATTGTGACCTCAGTTCTAGGCGTTTAGTCAGATTGGTGCGTGAATTGTTCTGGCGGATTGTGGGTTCTCATTTTTAGGCCAACAGTATTGCCACAGTGCCATTTCAAACTCATATAGAGATTTAAACTTTGACTTGGTAGATTTCTTTTCATCCCTGATAATATGTCTACATTATCCGAAAGCATTTTAGGGCACTCTCTAATCAAACAATTTAAACAGGTGAACAGGGAATAGGTAAAACAACCCTTATCACTACAAACCGACGAATATCGCAGAGGGATACTTACGGCTGTCATCTAATTTTTAATTTATGCCATTCACTGTAGATCCTAAACATCATGACACTGAAGACTTCAGTTTGTGTAGTCTCTTCACTTCAGGAAACCTCGAGGAATTTTCATGGGGGTTCAGATCAAGTCAATGTGCAGGAGAATAAGCATATTTTACCGATATATGCCGTATGCATGATAAGACTAGCTAGCTAAACAAGCAAGAATCAACCCGATTTGCTTGTATTCCGCAGATAAGGAAACGGTAAGTAATTGTATTGCACGAGTCCATTGTTTTGTTTCTTTAGAGAACAAACATTCGTTGTTTGCGAACACGATATCCCAGACCATCATAGAACTATCAAAGAAGCAACTACAATGAAGCACGCTTTTCGTATCACAATAGCATTGGTACAGCAGAAGACCATCAAAGTTGAAAATGTTTCAGTGTTGAGTGTCCCGTTATTTCTTTCCGAATTTCACTCGGAATTATTTCTCACCCAATCGACTTGTAATTCAATGTGATATTTAGTCTTCATGGGTACCCTCCTCATCGTTTTATATCGTGGACACCTGGGGTACATGGAGAACACCTATATATTCGATTGCAAGTAGCTTTGTAGCACGTAGAACTTATCAGTTGGCCCTCTCAGGTGTTCCTCTGCTTATTCGATATTTCTTCTTAATTGTTCACCAAACTGGATTCTTCAAAAACTACCGATAGATTTCCACTATCCATGAATTATTTCGACATTCTGGCTTGTAAACATTCCCAACTATCTGTATGTAAAGATTTATCTCTATACTAACTCACATATCCGTTGATCGTGTGGTATTCCTTTGTTTGCAAGAAGGGGAGCTTAAACCTCACAGCTCAATTCCACTGACTGTCTGAGTTTCGTACTAAGAACACTTATGGTATAAATTTTATTCAGCGAGGTATCACCGAGTATTGCTCAAAACACCGACTATATGCGTACCGCAAATTTTCACTATATTTTGAATATCAATGTGAAGGTCTATTCAAAACTAAACAAACCGGTTTGACAGTCACAAATATCTTGAAGTGAAGAGAAGGTGCATTGGTGAATGTAATACGAACTGACAGTTAACCAGTCAGTTTGTGTCTGCATCACTTTGGTTCATGCGTGATAAGTGTTAGTATGTTGTGTAACACGGCTTCTTCCGTTCTTTGCATATGAGCTACTTATCGTATAGGATTATCGTGCATCATCCTATACAAAGTAGGAAGCATCGTAGTTGTTCGATGTGTTAAGACACTTGTTACAAATTGATCCATTAATTGCTTTTAAATTAGCACCATACCAAATATAAACATCATAATCAACAGCGTCATCGCCTGTTTTTGGTTCATTTGTACAGATTCGATGTGCCCGATCGCCAATTCCATTCCATTCCCGGCACTTGGCGCTTCATCATGAGCAGTCCAAATGATAACAAAGAGCTCATACCAGAATTCTTCTCACTGCCGGACTTCTTGAGGAATGACAATGGTGAGTTGTCAATTTAGTCAGAATTTTTCGTGCACAATTACCTTTATATGATTTCATGCTGACAATAAATCTTAGGGTCATCTACTGGGCCACATATTGCAGAAGTTTCCTATCACATGCCCTTCAATCTTATTCTATTTGATTATCAAATGTTCGGGCGAAAACAAGTACTTTGGCGGAAATGCAGTCGAAGCTTGGTGCTTATGGTAGTTTTTCGTATCATTTTTTTTGAGGAAACGAGTTGGTAAGCGAACAACAACGGCAATTTCCTGCCACCCTCTTATAAGTCGTGTCTAGCGGGAAATGGTTTGCACAAATATAGCCCTCAATTGGGTCTGAGGTCCTTAATCCGAACCTGTGAAGAAGGGATACGTGTGTTGGGCAAAAAGGAGCAATCCATTCTATCGAGACAAATTATGCAACTCCATCTAATCGACTACAGAATTGTGGTCACATTTGCAAAAGTCAAACAGATCGCACCCATACACTCCACTAACATGGGCTTCACACGCTTTACAGGGTATACCATCGACAAGCTCTGATGTGTAATCCTAAGTGTTTTATTCCCAACAGCTTACAATTACTTCTCAGCATCGCCAGGTTTTATGGTCTCTTCTTCTATGCTGATCCCAGCAGTGTTCAAACGGATTAAGATCTAGCGATCTAACGGACCACGGTAGACAGTGAACGCCGTAATACTGTTTACATTCATGTATGTATTAACATGCGTGTACTGGGCACTTATCCGTCGGAAAGGTAAAGATTGATCCGTTACATCAGCGGCTTTCATTATTCATCTAATATTTTTAAGTAGGTTATCCTTCCGTCCTTGAAAATAAGGTCCATATTCCCATCGAAGCGAATGGCGCCACTTTTCGTTGTCGCTACCATCTTGTTTGTGTATTGATGTCCCTTCGATCTCCAAACTCTTATTCTTCGGTCTATCACTCATATCTAAACCATTGTTTTTAACCACTCCACACGATATTGGTCCACTGTTTTCCACTCCAAAGACACCGATGCATCGACCATTCATGGTGCACCTCTTGGTAACAGCCACTGATGCAAGGAATCTGTACCGTCTACCGTCCATGAAGGCCACACTTGTTCAACACTCTTTTAGTGTAAGTTCTTAAATGGGAAAGGCACATCCCTTCACTGAGGCTAGTGAGGGTACAAAATTATTCCTTCTAATACATCGAAAAGCCTTTCCTTGTTGTCTTCCTCTTGATATTTGGAGACTGGGATGGGTATATTTCTTAGTTTCGTTTATCCACCCGAAAACGGTAGATCTTGGTTTGTCTAAGGCTTTAATTTTTGAACGGTGAAAGCACTGACTTTGAACAGTATGGTAGCCTGACCAATTACTTGGTGCCATTTTGCATTTGCTACGAACCGATATGGCACCGATAACGAATATATGCTTCTTTCTGCAGGTGATTGGAGGTAATTTGACACGCGATTTGACACGATTCACTAACGTACGTATTGGTCAATTGAGTTCTATCCACAAAAATCCAGTGGTGGTTTCATCTCGTTGGATTTTGGTGAATGTGGTCGGAGTGAGTGTATGGGAATTGTAACTGGTCACCATTCCCTTACACCTCACAAAATGCTCCTATACAACCAAGCGTCTCAAATAGCCTCTGTTGAGGAAGCCCTATTCACTGCCTTCTCTTGGCGGAGGTGTTTTCCATCAAAAGGAGAGAATGAAAAGCCGACATCCGGGGCTATAACCGGGTTGGTGAGCCATTGGCAATTCACCTAGGGGAGTTGGCCTAAAACCCTGATTNNNGATTCCAAACCCACCGGGATGAGGCGTACGAACTACACACACATATTCCGGGTTGTGGCAGTCATCACCGGCTCAATGGGGCATCGAGGTGTATTGGGCTCCTTGAACGTTTGACCTCGTCCAAAGGGCGTATGATTTTAGTAAACTAGACACCGGCTCGCAATGGACTGCAGACTCTGAGCTCCGTCCTGTTGTCTTGCAGGTCTGGCTTTCTAGCCAAAGACTTCGGATGGGGACCCGAGGTTATCCCCCTTACTCGACCAGGGTAACCGGGAAGTAATATGCTCACACAACCTTTGAACACATTCTGCAGATTTCTCTTTGTTCATATGTTGTGACACATTTGCCAGTTCTCTGTAATTGATAACGTGTTGAAATGATATTAATAATAATGATAAATGTGCTCACTTGTGCCACTGACCAGTGTGAGTGGGGTTCATCTTTTTTGAAACAACAATGTAGGTTCTATTGCACTCCCCATTCTCGTCTTAGCCTCCTGATGTATATGAACTTGTCACTTCCGGGTATGCACGTTTTAAACTACTAGTGGATTGATGAAACTTTATGGTTGCGCATATGTATTAATCCGATGTACTTCATTTGTCTTGTACTCCATTCTGACATCAGGCTACATTTTTTCTCATTCATCTTTCAGTTAGGAATAAGGTTTTAGATTACCGTATTTGTTTTCCGAGAAAGTTGCTTGTTATGTTTTATTCAATTGTTAAACACATTTGTTTTCTTTGAATCAATGAATTGTCTTTGACTATTTTTTCCACTTCAAATTTGTCGCATGCAATGCACTACTTTTCATTCAAACCTGACAGGTTTAAGGAGATAAAAATAACTGCACGTATCACAATTATGCCCGATACAAAAATCAAATGGTATCTAAAGTATCTGTTCGACGTATTCATCAAAACGTCTTTATTTCCCTTTCAAATCTGAGTTGCTTCTTGACAGATAAAACGTGTTCGATGTGGTCGTTAACGGTTATCTGCTGGATGAACCCCAAGAGCATGCGCTCATAAACAGTGGCTTGGGCCCGAATAAGTTCCTGATTCATTTGATGTGCACCAACAGTCTGTGGCTCCTCACTCATTATTATTATCTTGCTATTCAAAGGTGAACACCTTTATTTCGATGCTTAAGGATCGGGTTCTCTATATCACCGTTATTTGTTTGCACAACGACTACTTTGACTCGAGACATCAGATTATGAACATCTATATAGTCAGCGGCAGATAAGCACCCCGCCTCACGCAATGTTACAATCGTTAGTATCATCCTCGCGTCAAACAACGGTAATAATAATATTGAAAATGTCATTTATGTTCTAGTTCTCCTCCTTCTGCGTGATAATGTGACTTATGCTCGGCTTCCGCCCTCTTTTTCGCAGATTTCAATTTCGGCTCCTTTCAAGAATCCAACGTTCGTATAAATCATGTGGAACTGCCTTCCTGGGCTTCCAGCCCCGAAGATTTCATTCAAAAGCATCGTGCCGCACTTGAGTCCGACTATGTGTCCGCACACCTACACAACTGGATAGACCTAATTTTCGGGTAATACTATTAATCGTCATGTTAGCTTAGATAAACCGTTTCATTTAGGGGCTTGATGATATCACTGATGACTTTTTATCCTATCGATGATTTGTTCAGATGATTCTAGAATGTAAATTTTGCGTAAGTTTTTTTCAAATGTTCGGAATAATAGTCCCCTCAACAGTTGCCGCTCTCTCAACCGGATCGTTTTTGACCGATTCCCGAGAAATTTCACCCCGAACTAATGTCTCCGTTCTTGATTTCTTCAACAAAATGTGGTGTATCTTGTTCTTAGAATCCCGAGGTCCCGAATTACAATTGAAATCTGCTCGCAACGTCTGCATCTGGTTAGGCACCTATATCTAACTCAAAAAATAACCTAAAAGCGGTCAGAGTGGGAAAGAGGTTTTTTCTTTCAGCAACGCCCTCCGTTTATAACTGTGAACATCCCACAAATACTGATAATTAGGAGGATTGCAAAGAATGAAAGAATGAGCAGCAGTTTGATGTATGAAAATCAGCGCAGATTGTTACTGAGCATTGACAAAGTATACAGATTACGGGGTTTCACGTGGTTCTGGTTGTCGGTATTGCTTCAGTAGTGCTTTTATTCTACACCAAGATATCAATATTCGATGGCCCTCATTATTGCATCCTTAGGTCAAAACCTGGACGTTGTCAGCTCAGAACTGATTGCCACACACACCCTATAATGTGATGAAGAATCAGCTGAGACGACATTTATTGAAAAACCGTTTACTTGTATGATGATCCTGATCATATTATTTAATCCTGACTCGAATGTTGATACCTATCACGAAATCGTATGATTTATTTTCACACAAAACCGGGCGGTGGTGACCCGGTGGTAACGTCACCAAATTATCGCCCCAGGGATGTGTTCGAATCCCACCACCACCGCCTGACTTTTCCACTGTGTGTTGAATGGCAGCCCTTTGATTGGCCGTTTCCCCTTCCTGAAAATTGTACCATTGCATATTCAATAAAAGGAAGTGAAATAAAAAGATAAAAAAAGATCCATTCATCTTCCTTTCCTAATCAAATCACTATAGAGAGTAAAACAATCCTCTGTTTCGCCCTGTTTGGGACTCGTCAGCAGTGTGTACTTTTGGGTCCCTGTCAGAATTGGAACCTCGATTAATCGGGTTGGAAGTTCAAACCCTTACCCATGAGCTGCACGGTCGACGGTTATCACCTTGTGCGAATGGCTGAATCAACTTTACGATAACAAGCTTGGATTAGCCCATTCCATTATTAAGAGACACCAGACACTGCTGTTCAGTGGTTATCACAAACATTTCCACCGCATGTAAATGCCTGAAATGGTGCTCAGTCAAAGATCTCCCAAGGAGTGAAATCCACACCCAAGAGTGCCTGGTGCCTCTTAACAATCGAATTGGCTAGTATAAGCTTGCTACTGTAAAATAAATATCGTTTTATCTTTCCCCATTTCCTGGTTGTTGTCATTGTTGCTGCTTTAGTCGTTCTTGTTGTCCTTGATACCGATGTTGAGCATAATGATTTTCTCACTTTGTTAGGTATAAACAGACTGGTCCTGCCGCAGTGGATGCTCTGAACGTGTTCTTCTACGCTTCATACGAGGGAGCGGTGGATTTGGATAAAATCCCCGATGAACTGGAACGAGCTGCGATGGAAAGTATGATTAACAACTTTGGTCAGACTCCTTGTCAGTTGCTGAAGGTAAACAGACGAAATAATTCAGTTTGCGAATATATTATAAATTGGTCATACAAATAAATCTGGAAAATTCCTAATTTATGTTGTTTTGTTCCTTACGTTGTGAAGAATATTGGTGGAAATTACGCCACTGATTGTCTGACTAGCTCTCGTTTTATACAGAATAATATGAAACACTTAAGCCAGTTTTGCCATTTCTAATGGGATCATTGTTTATTGATATCCAAATATCCTTGATCTTCCATTTTCATCCATTTTGGTTTGACGCGTTCTGATCTTTATGCATCACTGAAAAATGTTTAAAATGCACAGTATGCTTTCAGAATCTTATTTCATAGTTTTGTTCTGCCTCTTTTGTGGTTCAGTTGTTTTCAATCTCTTGCGGATTTAACTGTGACCCATTTCTAGAATGACACTCAAACTTGTATATTTTTGGCAATCAAAACTAAACAGTGTACGAATGACAGTTCATTCCACCATCAAAATAGAGCTTCATAACGTTGGCATGTTCCTCGATATCTTTCCAGGCCCCTCATCCAAAGCGCCTTACCTACTCAGAGTGGTTAAGTTCACTGCTTAACCAGCGCCGCATCCCGTTAACGAACCTACTTGTAATGAAACGGAACTATCATCCTGTGCAACTTGCTGAATTGAAACGACCAACGTTGACTGTTACGCATAGTAGTAGCACATCACTATCTGAGTCCAACAACTCGCTAAATGTTGTGGCGTCGGAAAGTGAGGATGATAACCCTGTTCACTCCGATTCGGCCGAATATGGTGAAGCTACCTCAAACAGTAGTCGCGCAATGGAGCCATCGGATGATGTTCCCACTGGAGATAGTCTGGTTACTAAAGAGCTTTGGTCGATGCATTTGGGCTCTAAGGCTGCTGAGAAGCAGTATGTGTTTGGAGTAAATTGTCGCATGTATCATCTGGTGGGAGTACTTCAGGTAGAACGTTCAACATGTATTTCAGCATCTTATTTGGCTGTAATCCCAGCTTTCCGCATGCCTCCGCCAGCTCTTGTGAATAGATCAGCTTCCGGGGATGATTCGGCTTCAGCGAGTTTTAGTGGAGATTCAAAAATGACATCCAGCCCAGATCCAAGTCACGTACTGAAGACAGTGGCATCTCTAGCAATGGCATCAGCAAAGCAATCATCTTCGGAAATGAATGAACCCATAGAGGATAGAAGCAGTTTTTCTTATGACATCAACTGCCCTGATTTTGGCATTCCACGGACTTCTCTGGAACGTCTCGCTTCTTTGGTTCTTTCCGTTGATGAACGTGGATCTATCAGTCGTTACATTTGGCGACCAAAAGACGGTTCCTCTTCGACGGAAAATTCGGCCATTCGCGCGCAAGATAACTTCCAGTTGGAATTAAGCAGCAAGAATATGCTTCAGTAAGCCCTTTTGTTTAACAGCTTTCTTTGCTTCTGCTAACATTGTCTTGTGGAGTTCAAACCAAATAGGGGGTTGATCACCTCGTAGTCTTTTCATTGTAGTCTTATTCCCCTAAGCAACATGGCTTTGTTGTTTCAATCAAAATAAGCAAAATTGGGGCAACGCATGCAAAGCTTTACTGGAAACTGATGAACAACTACAGTCAGAGAGCTTTCGCCTTCGTTCAGTTGGTGTTGACCCACCTCTTTTAACCTGCACTAGACGGAGGTCCTCTGAAAATACTTTTATTTACCTTGGCGAGTTCCAAGAGCTTGTATTTTTTTACGAAGATCACTGGAAGGTGAATTGTATGACTGGTTCTCCTTTTTCTGTCTAGTAGATGTATGATGCAGTTCTCCTTTGGGATCCAGCATCACCCTTCCAGTTGTGAACTAATGTTACTGGTGGTTGCAGTCCTTAACTTCTTCCACGAACTTTGGAATGTCATCGATTTTGTTTCGTGCAAACGCATTTATGAAAGTTTTCAAATTTTGTTCATTCACGTGTTTGCTCCTGATATTTGTATAATAGCGTCTTATATTTAATAGCTGTGTGGATATATTTGAGCACCATTGAATTCTGACACTATTTTAAGAGGTTTCTACGTAGTCCCTGTTGTAGGAGGTTTGTTAATGCAAATATTGATGAATAGTTTCATTGCTTCATTCAGATGAACTTGTTAAATGCGTTATCCACCGGGCATATGCCACTTTGAACAAGATGCACATGAACGTTTTGGATGGTTCTGACAATAGTAATCGTTGTGTGTAAGCGTAGAATAATCAGTAGTATACGCCGTTGAGATTACGTTAACTCTCCAACCATTCAGCTAAGTAATTTGGCGAGAATATTGAAGGCACTTGACGGGCGTAGTTTCCCAAACTGATATTGGATTCACAATAATTGTCACGTTGTTAAGACTATCAAAAGTATATATTTACGACCCCTTTGAAGATTTTTGCAAACTACGTGTTCTTTGGATACGATTATATATCTTTATCAGCTTAATTGATAAAGTTTGTAAATAACAACAAAATGCATTGGGTGGGTGTTCAAGCGCCCATTCGTGCTCATGCCATCCATAGTACAACGTTGTAGGCTTCTCATAGAATGGAAAGATCCAGACTTTTGTTTAACCTGTAACGCTAAATTAATGTAAAATACCAATGGTAGTTTTGTTTGGTCTTTAATGAAGACCGAATTGGACGGGGAAGTTCCAAACCCTAGAAGTGTCTGGCAAATGAATCGAAATGCGACGGATTGATGGTGCTTTGACTGCACGCAGCATCAATATGTTTCCAGGCAAGTTACCAGAAAGAGCAGTGCATTTACTGGAACAGTTTCGGTTCCAGTTCACACCGTATAATCGTTAACTTTTCATTCGATTTTCGACTGCCAGGCGGTGGTTTATCCATGAGAGCTGCAATAAAAGCCTTTGGAGCTAGAATGATGACTGATATGTGTTCAGATACGGATTCATATTTTACAACCATTAACCATGCATGTTCGTGCCCCGGTTTTGGTAGCTCTCTTTTGGCCGCCCATTTGGATAAAACAGGACAATGAGGATTGGAATGTTGAGAGTGAATTCAAGGGGAATGGGAGAGTTCATATAGACAGGTTGATTCAATGCTCTACAGTTCATAAAAACGCAAAGGCACTCGCCCTCTACTTCTCTAAGCCCAAACCTTTTGATTTATTCATCAAGGGAAGCGGGTGGTGTACTATCGTTCATGCCTTGATAATTAATTATGTGATACTTTTTAATAATTTCTGGATACAGATGCTTCTTCTGAATCCATTCTGGTTCAGTCGATCGGAATATGGTCGCATTTGATCGTGAACGCTATTCAGCGCTCCACTAACCACCACGATTGTGGATTCTTCAAAAAAATTCACCCGCCTTGGCCTGGGCAACCTGGCAGTACTCACCCCCAAGCCAATCATGGAACATTCTCTTTTTTATAAAGCTTATTGTACCATGATTTGTTTGGCACACAGACTATCCTCAGATAAGCGTGAAATATGATATAATAATAATAATAACTACCACTCTACCAAACTCATCAATCCAGTGAATGAAATGAAACTCCTCAAGTCATCATTTGTCACTGGTTTTGGTTTGACCGATTGGCGATTCAGTCGGAAACACTGTTAGGAAATAGCCACTGTCTTCTTCCGTATTTGCATGTCCTACGTTTTGGGCAGCATGAGTGCTACTTTGGGGGTACATATATGCAGATCTTTCGATGGATGGTAGATGGACTTCAACCATCAAATCATTTTGCAACCCAGTAGCCTGTTTGCTACCCTAACACTTCAGTGAGTATGGATACCGGTACACATTATTTTCTCAGAACTGTAAAAGTGCATTAACTGATTCAGCTAAGCGTACGTTTGATTTAATTTCACGGCACTATAAAACAGCACAAGTTTGTTAATCACAGTGCAATGCGGTGATCGAGGCCCACAGCGAAATAAGATCAGGGCTCCTGTCATACTCTCTTCACCCCACATGCCTTTCTGAGGGAGGTGAATGAACTGCACAATAAACCACCAGTTCATCTGGAATAATCCTACTCCCTCGTTAGTAGAAGTTTGGGGTGCGAAAGCCAGAGGGGTAACCTCGAACGGAAGACCCATGAGATGTCGTTAGCTTACATCACCCCGGATCAGGCGATCGAGCAGTAAAACAGCCTCACAAGGTGCTAGGAAAAGCGCTTCATACCCTATTCCCACAAACCGCTGTGGATACTATCCGTGAATCCAACTTATCCTCTAAGCGTTAGTCGATTACAACTGAAAAGACAAACCATATAATTACCCGTTCCCATTAAGTATGCGTATCACGAATGACCATCAACATTAGAATGTTTATGTTGTGTGGAAATCGCATGTAATCTTCTCCTGTTGTGCTGCTTTTTCCGGTATGACCGTTTTTGTTCATATACTTCTATATACTTTTAGCTATGAAGATTTGACCAACCTAATGTTTTCTCCTGTATCTCCTATATAGCCGTAACTTGTGTAGTGTCGGCCCGTTGGATCGGACAGTGTTATGGACACCAAGCAAATTACGTTCGATCAAAACCGCCGTGGATACTCCGAGTGAATCCATTCCGTGTGAAAGTGAATCCAACACACTTGGTTCACAAATGTTTGCTGTCAGTAGTGATGGTTGCTGGTTATTTGCGGCCGGGCGATGGGATAATCGGCTGGCAATTTACAATGTTCATCGGTCTCGCCTTGAAACATTGGTTACCAGTCCACATTCAGACACAATAAGTTGTGTTGCAATCGATACAGTTGATGGTTTGGGAGACACGAATCCGTTTATTACACGTCCGGACTCGGGACGTCGGAGTAGTATTTCAATAACATCCTCTAGCAATCCATCACTACAGCCATTTGGTGCCCCGCTGAATGATACAGTCAATCCCACGCGCTACTTGATTACCGGGAGTAAAGATGGGACGTGTGCAGTATGGGACCTGGATCCCACTGATGTAAAAGACGCAAATATGGATGAAGTTCGGTGGGAGTCGGAAAACACTGTGCCCTCTTTTCAAGATGATGATTTTTTGGTCGAGTTTTATGGTGGTGAGGATGAGCTTTGTGACCCCGATCGATTCTTACTCAAGCTGCCTACATCATCCGTATCTCATCCTCAGGTAAATGAGCAACGGAGCCCAACTGCAATTAACATCACTGTCTCCGATACGGAATCTGGCCTGGGCACAGAGAATAAAGATAGCCCGATCGATATATGTGAATCTCAGTCCAGACTGGACTTCTCGCGTCTGAAAGCGGGCAGGTTTCCACAACATGGAGCACCGTTGGTCTATTCGCATGCTGGACACGCATTTTATCCGCCTGGTGTGTCTGGATTCCAACCTTCATGTTCTCGGCCGTTAATCATTGTACGCCGTCTGTTCTACAATGACGCAACTGGTGATCCAGTCAGCACAGTTGCTTTGAATATGAGTCTTGATTTGGCTTTAGCAGCCACACGTGGAGGGAGACTAGTGTACCTCTATGCCGTTCGACGTTCAAGTTGGTCTAAAGTTTTGCACTTGGATGGTTTAAACCAAACTCCCGGGACCCCGTACAATTTACCCGCTTTCCGGTCCACATCTACAGCAACATCCCTCACATTCACTACGGGATTTCAAGTACATCATCTAATTGTATCAGCACAAACGGGAAAAATTTATGTTCAATGGAATCGAACGATTCTGCCAAATTCTTGCAATCAGTCTCATCCTGCGGAGGAGGTGGGGCCTTGGTTGAGTATTTTTACACCGAACGCTAAACAACTGAGTGAAAAG